TATTTTTCATTTTTTGTTCAGATAGAGTGGGGTGGAGAGAGAGGGAGAGAGAGAGAGAGAGAGAGAGAGAGAAACATCGATACAAAAGGGACACATCGAGTGGCTGCCACCTGCACAACCCAACCAGGGCGGAGGACAAACTGCAATCAAGGTACGTGCCCTTAGCGAAAATCGAACCCAGGTCTCTCTGGACCGCAGGCTGATGCTCTAACCTCTGGGCCAAACTGACCAAGGCTGTACTTCTATACTTTAAATATCCTATCATAATTTTTGGTTTTCTTCTCTGGGTATCACACACGTGCTTATTTTGCACCTCATTTGGGCATCTTCTATAATTATTTTTTCTGTAATCGGTTCTCTTCCCATTTCCCTTCATTGAATGAGTTGTCTTTTCCTTAACTAGTCCTTGGAAGTAGAATTCCATGAATTGTACGGAAAGTAGACACCAAGGTTACCTTCCAGGCTTCAAAAAAAACAAAGCTTCTTTCCTTTGGTTAGTGAAGGAAACACCTTACAGTGGAACGTCATGAAACTTTGTGTAGCTCTGTATCCTCTTTTCCCATTATCTTGGGCCCAGGAGAGCTTTTCCCACTTGTCCTCACCACCACTATTATTATCCACGGAGCTTCGGGTTCACACTTCGCGACCACGCCTTCACCCTTCGGAAGTGCGCTTTGCTGCTCTGAGATCTGCACCATTTGGCCCTTTCCTCATGCTTCCTTTCATTTTAGTTCATTTTACTTCCTCCAGTTCAGTTTTTTACCCTATTTTAGATGTTTTTAGTAGGCTTTATTCTTATTTAGAAACCCATGACTTTATCTTGCCTCTAGTTTTGCTTAAAATGGAGTTTTTAAAATGTGAATTCCGAGAAGGAAAAGGGATAGCTGATCATTTTATACGTGTATTCTTTCTGATTGGCTCCATATTGTTATTTTCATTTAAAAAGGAAGTAATTAAATATAGAAGGTTGGGAAGAGGGAGAAATAAATTTTGTCTAATGGGTCTGCGTTCTTCACCATGTTGTTACGCACTGATCCAGACATCACCTTTTACTCTCTTACCAACTTTTGCTATGATTAGGTATAGAGAAGGATTGTTCTTGAGTAATTAAAAGCTTAGTTGAAGGAAAGACAGTACATGAAAAACCTCAGGTTTCTCATAACAGCATTTTTTTTCCTCTATCGTTACAAAATAGATGCTATGAAAGCCTAATGTTAGTGAGTTTAATTGTTGATACTTTCCATTTTATTGCAATGTAGTTTGAAAACTCATGTGATTTGAGATTAAATTTTCAACAAAATGACTCCATCCCCCCCTTTTTTTCAGTTTCACTAAAGTGCACCTGCAATCAGCCAATTCCTTGATCAAGAGGTTACTATCACCTGCAATTTTGCTGCTGCAGTTTTGGTGATCCTGTGAAATCATTTCTTCACATTTCTAATTTGCTAGTCACATTTCTAATTAGCTAACCAAGTCATGGTTTTTGCCTTAAGTGTTCAAAGATGTTTTAGTGTTTCCAAGGTGAATTAGGAGACAAACAATCAATGAGCGGACAATGATTTAGTCAAAATTTGAGTTCTTTTTATTGTAAGATGACATTTTCCAAAAGAACTAATTTTTTAACATCCTCACTCAAGGATATTTTTCTGTTTATCTTTAGACAGAGTGGGAGGGAGAGGGAGAGAAAGAGAGAGAAAAAAAACATTGCTTGGTTGCCTCCCACAAGACCCTGACCAGGGCCAGGGATCAAACCATAACCAAGGTATGAGCCCTTGACCAGAATTGAACCCACAACTCTTTGGTCTGTGGGCCAATGCTCTAAACACTGAGCAAATCTGGCCAGGGCCAAAAGAACTATTTTTATAAACTTAAAAAAAAAAACAAACACAAAAACTTAGAGATAAATTATAAAGTTTAGATACATTTATTATATAGTAATGTTATTTAAAAAAAAAAACAACAATAACACATTTCCTGAATCTTATAAATTATGTCTATTTTTACCTTTGCACGTGTCATGGAAGGTTCAAAGGCTGTATTAAAAACATGTTCTTTATGCAGCCTGAATGGTCACCTCCACAGGAGAGATTAATTATTGGGGCTCCTGGACCCTTGAGATTTTTATCTTTTGCCAAATGATGTCTAAGTTCAGGTCTTGGTGATTTGAAATGAAGTCAAACAGACAAACCACTTAACCTGAGATGAAAATTAATGGTTGAAGTGAATTAGCTCCCTAAATATTTAATTACTTATAGATATAAAAGTCAATGGTCAGGGTCAAAGGTAATCTTTTGACACACCATTGCTCAGCAGGGTTTTCATGACTAAAATCTTAGATTTATATTTAGAAAATATTTATAAGAAAGTATATTTAAAATTAAATAAGTTCAATGACAACCCTAGTTTGTTCTGAAAAATATTTGAATCTTATGGTCTCTCTTCAACCTAATTTTTTTTAGTGTTGTTTAGTAGATGCTAAAATCCCATCAGCACAACCTAATAAAAAACTATTAACTTGTTAAGACTTTGAGAACTTTAGTAGTAATAAACTAACCCAAACTGACAAAATGAGTTGTCAACTCATGAAGCGGGGTAGATTTGCTTGTACATTTCCTTTGTCTATTACTCTCATTTATTAAGATGAATTCGGGAAGGAGAGAGAGAATAATAGATTTATTATGTGTTGTTCTCATCCTTCCTGTTTCAGGATTTGCCTTGACCAAAAATAGTGCTTACTGAATTGGATTTAGGTGGTTTGTTATTGTTCACATTGAAAGCGCTCATAAGAAACCGACCCTGAGAAATACAGCAACATGTTAGCAGTAAAGGTGTTAGTGAAACTATGATTCATTGAGTTATATGTTGTTCTTTTTACCAGAATCATGGGGGAACCTCCTCTTGATTTTTCTGGAGTAGTTTGGTTTCCTATGAGCCAGGACTTCACTTCTGTCTTGTGGATATTGGAAATATCTTGACTTGATTGATTTTCCTCTTCCTGTTGGTTTCCAAGAAGCTGAAAGCCAACATCATGACCAACATTTAAGAAGAGACTTGATGTTGAACATGCATTTTATGTATTCACCATTTCATCTCCCTGCATGTATTTTCTCTTTGCTCTTCATTTTCCTTAATTATGTGTGGAATATGAAAATATATAACAGTTACCTCTTTTTTGATGTAACTATCTTTAAAACTGAATACTCAAGACCTCTATCTCCAATAGAACCTTAGTTTCCAAAACACCTTTGATCAAAAAAAGCATTAACTGTGATTTATTAGCACTCTAATGTTTTCTAACACTTTCTGACAGTTTTAGAGCCAAAGGAAAAAATAGAAAGTTAATGTGAAGACAGATGACAATTTATTTGTGAATGTGTGTGCCTGTATGTGTTTGGGTATGCCTATATGACAAGCATAATAATTGCTCACATGCCACTGGCATGCTAACAGCCTTGAATCTACAAAGCCTTCTTGTATATTCAAGAAGATATTCTTTGATCTCAGAGAAAGTGATCCTAAAACTTGCTTAAAAACTGGTCACTTTTTATTTCTCATGAAAATATAAAGGATCAATCTGCCAATGGTCTTTGTTAAAAAATAATTTCAGGAAAGATGTATGAGAACTTGTCTTACTCAGGGCTTGTGTTCCTGTCTTAGAATGAGGTCTTAGTATCACACTTAGCAACACCCTTAAGACTGAAAGGTCAAAATTTTAAGAATCAGAGTAGAAAGATGGAAAAATCCTGGTTTCTTTATCATACTACTAAGTAGCTAAACCAACAATATGAACTTTTTACCTTAAAACTCATTGTTGTATAGAAGAAAAAAAATATTTTTAATGGTACTTCATTTCTTTTTGATGTTGCTTGCAATTGAATGTGTGCTTGATAATATAGTTTTGGAAGACAATGGTTAGGAAATGCTTGTAAGCCTAGCTAATGTTTACTAGTTATTGATAACAGAGGAAGAATGATCTCTTCAATAGTCACAGTACTGAAGTTTATTATAACTTCCTGTATGATAAGTGGTCTGACAACTTTCCTTCTCTGCCTTTACTGGTATCTGTCACAGACGATATCTGATTATTTTTAACCAACAATATTTTTACTTTCCTAACTATTTTGATTTTTAAGCTTTCAAAAATATATATAATGTTTATTTATATAAATTATTATATATTATATTCATATATATATATATATTTAGCAGTTCATACTGAACTACATTGCCTCCCCTTCCAAAACTGATATTTTGAAATGCAGATACTCTTTGCATTTTTGAATAGGCTTATCCAACTTAAATTTGCTTGAAATACAATGGGAGGCCGGTTTTCATTTAACACAAACCATAATTTAAGCTTCCAAAGAAAAACCTGGCTCTTATTGCAGTAATTTTGGATTAGAAATGGTACAATATGTACAGAAACAAGAAAAGGAAAACCTATAGAGAATTTCAGACCCTCTCAACAGAAATGGAAAGGAATGTAAATTTATGAAAGTCAGTAATATTACAAACAGTGAAAGCTATTCATGTAAACCATACAAAATACAATGCAGAACTGTGAACAAGAATATGACATTAAGCAATAAAAAAGAAAAAATAATCAGAGACATGATAGATAGAGCATAGATGATATTTAGAAAACTTTTATCATTTGTCTAATATTATGCCAAAAATCTTGCCTATAGAATTGCATGTAAGACTTGTAACCACCTTACTAGCTAAGTTACATTATTATCCAATTTCGTAAGTAAAGAAAACTGAGCTCTGGAAAGAGTAAGTACTTTCTGGTTACAGAGCTAACAAAGGGAGGGCTGTGTCATGTCTTAGCATCATTATAAATTCTATATTTCTGACAACCAAATTATACTTCTTCTCAGTAAATATGCGAGTATAGCAATACTTTTTCCTCTATAGATCACATTGGTGTGTCTGTCTAGCATATATTTGTATATTCATTTACCCATAAAATTTTATTTACTTTAATTTTTAATTTTTAACACTGTTCTAGGATAGAATGGTCCACCTGAGTAGCTTCTGAGGCTAATACATTTCTATCATGACAATTACTTTAGCAAACCTGGTTCCCTTTATTTAGGCAATAGCACGAACAGTTCGTGATGGAGTTTGCACTCTGCCCCAAATTTTAATGCTTCAGAGATTTTAGGACTAAAGTCAAATATTATAATTCGAGTATTCTTGTGCTACAAAATTTTACCATTGTACATATCAGCCAAACTGTTTTCAGAAACCATTTTCATTTCTCCATCTCAATTAATGTTAATCACAGTGATTATGCTAATCTAGGTTGTGTACAGTATACAAGAAATAACAAGGAAAACCATTTTAGACTGAACAGCCAAAACAAGATTCACAGTAGACACAAATACTTGAATTGTAAATGATGTGAAGCTTGTCATGTGCTGAATAAACAATAAACTTATTTAATATCGAAGAACAGGCAACATTTTCTACTGAGCATGGCACACCATAGTGTTTATCTCTTGATATGTATGCTTTCTCATTATTTCTGCCCTTTGTGGATTTTCACATTATTCTGAAATAATATATTAATCTAAAAAATGGTAACAGTTTTGTCTAAAGAGACTTTCAGGTTTATTTCCACCAAAAATACTGTCTGACTCTCCATTGTGTGATATAACACAGGATGATGGTGAGTACCACACGTATGACCTTTGGGAAACTAAAAACATGGCCCTCTACCAGTGTTTGGTAGCAAAAGGTAAAAAAAAAAAAAAAATGGCAGCTGTAAAAAATTAGAGCCTGAGAAAAATGTTCTTCCTTATATACGCTTATCAACTATTCTCCCTTATTTATTTATTTATTTATTTATTTATTTATTTATTTTATTTATTTTCATCCTCACCCGAGGATATTTTTCCATTTTTTTGTACAGATAGAGTGGGAGGGAGAGAGAGGAAGGGAGAAAGAGAGAGAAACATCGACGTGAAGGGACACATCGAGTGGCTGCCACCCGCACTACCAACCAGGGCCGGGGACAAACTGCAACCAAATTACTTGACCTTAGCGGGAACCGAACCCGGGTCTCTCCAGACCGCAGGCCGATGCTCTAACCGCTGAGCCAAACTGGCCAGGGCTATTCTCCCATATTTAAAACCAATTGGAAAAATGTAATGAAAGTTCTACCATAAAAAAAAAAAAAAAATGACTATATATGACAGCCTATATGATTCAATCTATTTTCACACCATTATCTACACTCATAAACCCACCCACGGGAGACATAACATCTACCCAGTTCAGGAACTTCAGGCTGAGTAAAAAGGAGTGATTCCTTGTACAATCATGCAGAGGAAAAACAAAGGAACAAACAAAGAAACAAATCTCCATTTTTACTTAAAATTTTGATATTTTGCTTTATAATTTGCTTTCCAATATGATTTATCTTGATTACTAAGTAATTTAGTCTCCTTAAGCGCCGTGCCTGCAGTATGCATCCCACTCACTACAATTTATCCCAGCCTTATTCTCTACACGTCTGTCTTAATTTTATATGCAAAGATTGATTGGAAAGTCCAGCAATGCCCAATGGCATTCTCAACAAAGCTGATGCACGAGGAAACATTGTGGTAGGTCCTTTGAAAAAAGCTCCAAGAGAAGAAAGAAGAAAGAAAGAAAGAAAGAAAGAAAGGAAGGAAGGAAGGAAGGAAGGAAGGAAGGAAGGAAGGAAGGAAGGAAGGAAGGAAGGGAGAGAGAGAGAAAGAAAGAAACAGAGAGAAAGAGAAAGAAAGAAAGAAAGAAAGAAAGAAAGAAAGAAAGAAAGAAAGAAAGAAAGAAAGAAAGAAAGAAAGAAAGAAAGAAAGAAAGAAAGAAAGAAAGAAAGAAAGGAAGGAAGGAAGGAAGAAAGAGAAATTAAAAACAAGCAATTACCTGAACCAAGGGTTTTCTTAAAACAGTGGAATAGTACCAGAGAGGGGAGATAACTGTCCTATTTTCAAGGGCTTAGCCAGCGCACGTGGGTGGAGGTGTCTAGTCCTCTCTTGTACCTGCTAAGACTTTTTAAAAGTAAAACATTTGGCTACTAGAAAATGAAAGCGAAATATTAAGCAAATGTATTTGAACTATCATATCGAAATATGTGTTGTTTTCTTCAAAGTGCTCATCCTATTTATTTTATAATCTCACTGAAGTTCCCACCAGCGTTTGAAATGCATTCCTGTGACTTGCACTTGACTCCACCACGAGCCGGAGGAGTGAAGCCGTCTTGCTAATTCAGAGGCACAACACATTTTGTCTCAAAATAATTTTCCAATTTAAGTGCTTAACACTTACAGGGGATGGATTTCGACTATTACTAGAAACCAAGTCTACTTGCTAAGAATGGCCACATGCCAAGATTAATTGAATTTAAACGAGTTGAGCAAGCTTCAAAGGATATTTCAAAAGAAGAAATTAGGAAATATATATGAATTTTGAAGTAAGAGAACCGGTGTCAGCTTTTAAGAAACTAGTTCACAGTTGTCTATAAGTGTCCAAATAGGTTTGGCAAAAAATAGGTGAAATTATTTCATCATTGTAACTTGCACATTATTTGCAGCTTACATGCTCCAACAATTTATAGATTGGTAGTTATGCTGGATTTTTACAGTAAAATCATAAAGTAAAAAAACCAAACAAAACCTATGTATATTCACAAATAGTCAATAATACCCTTGAAAATCCCTAGACATTTCCTCTTATGAAGTTAAAATCAGCATGCAGTTGAAGATACATGAACTATCAGCAGAATAAATTGTGATGTCTTCAATTTGAACGCTACGTAAAGTAGCTGGATTAGATTTAGGAGCCACACTGTCAGAAATAGGTATCTCTAAAAACTAGAAAACCACTCAGTATGGTGATCGGTTCACACCGTTAGACATGCATAGAAACAAGTAATGGGCCAAGTAATGAGAAAGTGACTACATTCTAATATTTCAAGGTAATTCTGGAATATTTACTTATTGAATTAAATGTTGGGTAAATCAGACTGCACCATTTCAAAGGATTTTTTCTTTATTGCACGTGTGTGTGTGTAAAAAGTATAATTTAATTTTTATAAGTAAAATGCAACTATGATGCAACTTCACTGCATATCACTGACGTCTCATTCAAGGTGCTCTGTAAAAGACAATGTCAGGAGAGTAGGAAGGTAAGCCACAGACTGGAAGAAATTATTTGCAAAGAACATATCTGATGAAAGACTATTGTCTAAAGTATACAAAGAACTCTTAAAGCTCAACAATAAAAAAACAGACAATTAAAAAATGGGCCAAAGACTTCAACGGATATGTTACCAAAGAAGATTAATAGATGGCAAGTAAGCCTCTGAAAAGATGCTCCACATGGTGTCAACAGGGAAGTAGTATTGAAAGAAGATATCACAACACATGGATTAAAATGGCTGTAGCAGAGCAATGAGAACACTAAATGTGGGCAAGGATGTGGAGAAAAAGACATTCTCATTCATTATTGATGGGATTGCAAAGTAGTACAGCTACTTTGGAAAAAAAAAAATTGGCAGTTTTTTACAAAACTAAATATACCCTTATCATACAATCTATCAATCATACTCCTTAGTATTTACCCAAAGAAATTGAAAACTTATGTCCACACAACAATCTGCACACACATGTTTATAGCAGTTGTATCCATAATTGCCAAAACTTTGAAGCAACCAAGATGTTCTTCAGTCGGTGAGTGCATAAACTGTGACCTATCCAGATCATGAAACATTATTCAGTGCTAGAAAGATATGACCTATGAAGTCATGCAAAGGCATAGAGGAACATTAAATGCAAGTTACTAAGTGAAAGAAGCCAATCTAAATGCCACATACTGTATGACTGCATTTATAAGACAGTCTGGAAAAGGCAAAACTATGGATATAGTGAAAAATTAGTGGTTTAAAATTAGAGGAGTTAAACGACAAATAATGTACATGGTTTATTATGGCGAGGGGGGGGAGAGACCAATAGGCAGAGCACAGAGCAGTATAAGGACAGTGAAATATTCTGTATGATACCGTAATGATGGACGCATGCCACAAAATGTCCAACACAAAAGTAAACCTTAGGGTCAACTATGGACTTTGGGTGATTATGATGTGTCAGTGTAGGTTCACCAACTGTAACAAATGAACCACTCTGGTGGGGATGTTGATAATGGGACAGGCTATAATTTTGTGGGGGCAAGTAGTAATAGGAGATTTCTGTACCTTTCCTGGATACAGAAAAATACAGAAGTTTTATGAAGCAAAAAATGCTCTAAAAATGTCCTAATTTTTAAAAAGTACATGAATGTGCAATATATAAAATAAAAGGAAAAAAATTCCTTACCGCTTTTTACTTGAGTAGCTCAAATAGACAGCATTCTAAATTTTACTCATGTAAAAATTAAAGATAAAACAATGTAAGATTAAAGTGAAATTATATGTATAATATATGTTTTGTACATGTTATGTATAATGTATATGCTAAAGTGTATTTTTAAGTATTTTAAAGGCCATTTTCATTTGAAGGAGTTATAAATTCAATATACTAATTTGAATTATAACATACATATAAACAGTTTTCTAAAGTTTTCTCTAAGTAATTCATTATAGTATAATAAAAACACACATATATCTAATTTTTACCTGAAAACAATTTGTTAGCTGTACGGATTCTACCTCCATTGTAGACAGCCTATAATTCCCAGCACACTAACATCAAATCACAAAATGAAATCAGAAATCTAGGATGATGTTCTTCTTATCAAATTACATTTTCATTGTGTTTTCATTCACTTTTCTTAGATTCTTCCTTTTCACACGTTTGCTTTGTGCAATATTCTATGAAGCTGAATCTGGAACTGATGATCTGTGATATATTATTAATTATGGATTGTTTTAACGGTAAAGACCTGTGTCTTTGAAAGGATCCAGATCTGGCTTCTGCAGCAGTTGTGGCAACATTGTTCACCAGTTTCGTGTAACAATAAAGGATATAACACAATTATTCAAGTTTCAGGAACACTACGACTTTATCAATCAATCAAGCAGTTGTCAGTTTCCTACGCACCTCACCCCACCTCCTATGGGCACTGTGGGAGAAGAGGAAGGTATTGATGAC